TTCTGGGTATTCAACAACTAAAGTTTGGAGACCAAAACTAGAAAGGTAACTGGGCTAAGAGGACAGCCAATATTTTGTCCCTGGCCCCTCAAGGTCAACAAAGATCCAGGACACAAAGGAACCTTTCCTACAGGATCCTACATCTTTGGTCAGTCACTCAACCTCCTGAGTAGGGAGATTCCTGGGCACCAGAGGACAAATGTACCATGTGCCAAAGGAGGGTCACCAAGAGGGAAAAATCTCCCATGCTTTCACTGAAAGCAGCATGGTCAAGCAAGGCCGTGACCCATCCTGATGGCTGACACTGACAGAGGAGCTGAGAGGCTCTATGCATGGTTCCAAAGTAATGCCTGAGGAGACTTAACTGACCTTGACAGATAGCAAGAGGTTCATACTGATTGACACAGGTCTCACTTTAACTTGGTCTTAAACACCCGGTGTTTGTTTCTTTTTATTTTTGCAGTAAGCACATGCTACTTTTGCAGTCTGAGAGGGCTATAATTGCAAAGAAGGAGGGCATTGTTGATGGTATCAAATACTGCAGAGAGGCCAAAGAATAGTAGATCCAATAGACTAGTGGGCAGTAGATTGAATGTGACAGTGACATGGGAAGACAGTTGTACAGAAATGGGTGTGCTGGAAGAGAAACTGCAGTGGGATGAGAAGAAAAAAGGGAAGGAATAAAGGTAGCCCACTTTAACAGAAGGATGACCAGGAAGAGAAACAGAATAGTAAGGAGAGGGGGATGAAAAGATCAACCTAAACTTTTTTAAGGTCAGAGAATCTGAACCAGCTTGATGCTGATGGAGAAGGACTAGAAAAGAGAGAGGCGATGATAGGAGACATGCATAATTGAGAATGAGGCATCTGTGAAGGTGGGGGTAAGATCCAGAGAGTAACACGATTGGATTGGCCTGGGCAGAAGCAAAGCTACGGCCTTCACTGAAATGAAAGATACAAAGTGCAGAGTGGAAACAGCGATACATTTCAAAGTGATGAAATGTGTGCCTGGTCGTCTTCATCAGTAGGAAGTGAGACTGTCTTCTGAAAGACAGGGTCTGGCTAGTAGGGCAGGAGCTTGAGAAGAAGGTGAAATCAAAGAGAAATTACAGGAGAGGACCTGATCAGGGGCCTGAAGCCAGGCCCTGCTGGACAGTAGTCCTGGAAAATTGCCCTTTTCTGTACCCAGCTTTGAAGTAAGAACTCAGAACTGTATGCAGGTGGTTTGGGGCCACTTACTTAACCCAGATGAGGGAACTGGTTCCGAACCACTTTCTGCACAATACTCGGGTGGCACATGGGTCACGGGCAGGATTGAGGGTAGATCCAAAAAGCCCATGAGATTAGCTATGGCTTCCCACACCTGGCAGGATCATCCCTCTCTGTGCATCCTTGAGGGGAAACTTAGCTATGGAGTCTGGGATTATTCTGTGCTCCTTCCTGTGCTGGGTGCCAGCCTCTGTAGATTTCCTTAGTATGAGAGATGTCACTGCCTTTCAGAATCCTCTGTAAATTTTCTCTCCTATTATTTGGGAGCAGAGTTCTGCAAAGTATAAAAAGAGGACACGTCCTGCTGCATCTGTGCCCTCGTTTGTTCCCAAGCACCATCACCCCATCTGTCTCAGATCCACGTCACTTCCCGGAAACAGAGACTACTGTGACATACCGTACTGCCTTAGCAGACCAAGGGATTTTAGGTCCTTTGTAGAAAGGACTGATTCTCAACCCAGGGCAATTTTGTACTCCCACAGGGGTCATTAGGTCACATATTTGATTGCCACAAATTGGGGGGCGGGCAGTGACTGGACACCAGGTGTGCTTCTAAATATTCTACCATGCACAGGGCAGCCTCCACCAAGAATTATCCAGCCCCAAATGTATAGTGTCAAAGATGAGAAATCATGTTTTAAAGAATCCTCATTTGAAAGAATCCTTTAAAGTATCACTGTAATCCATCTAAAGATTCTTTATAAATTTGGTGTTTAACCATGGGGCAAATGAAAGAAAATACCATACAAAAGTGAGGAAAATAGGATTTATAAATTCCCAGCAGGTGGCGCTAAAACACAAGTAACAATCCAACATCCTTTGGCCTCCATTTCAGAATCCAGTTCCTCTACTTTGTCACCCTCTGGAAAAATAATATCCAATCTTTTCGAATAGGGGTCTCACCTTTTAGGTGCTTGGTGTTCCCCACCAACAGAATTTTTATGCAAGTGAATTAAAATGAATAATGACGACAGCCAGGAAGATGGACGAATAGAGCCAACTCCTCAATCAGCAGCAGAAGTTCGATTCTCCATAGCAACAAAAGCGTGGGAGAATCTGCTAGCTTCTTGTCTCCCTTAGGCAACTTTTGGCGAGGCACCTGGTCATAAACTCCAAGGTTCCTTTATCCTTAAGATGGCCAAGTAATGACCTCAGACCACTAGTGAGATATAAGCAAAAGTGTGGGCAACTCCTAAGGCAATGTTTCTTAATAGGTGGAGTGACTGCCCTCAGGTGACATTTGGCAATACATAGGGACATTTTTAGTTGACAGATATGGGGCATGCCAGTGGCATCTAGTGAATAGAGGCCAGGGATGCTGCTAAATATCTTACAGTAATAGGACAACTTCAGAACACACAATTATCCAGCCCCAAGTGTGAATAGTGCCAAGGTATAGAAACTCTACCTTAGAGGGAAGATAATGCTCCTGTTTCTCCTTCATCCCTTCCCACTGGCTGGCTTTGCAATGGTGTGCCATCTTGGACCATATGGGCCAAGGCAAGAAACCGGGCAAGGTAGAGCTACAAATAGGTAGAATTTGACTCTTTAGTCCCATGGAGCTGCCATACTGCTCTGGACTCCTTACAGGCAGACTGCCAAGAGAGACAGAAATATACTTCTCAAGGATTTGAGCCTCTCTTCTTCTGAGTCTCTGTGACCACAGCAAAGTAATAGTAATACTAGATAACACTATAAATATGCAAGAAATGCATGGAGGAGGGCGGGTAGGAGGGGAAGGGGGAGTAAATTAAAATTTGTTATGTACATGTACCAAGTCCCCACAAAGAATGTAATCATTGTGTACTGCAAACCTGTACAATAAAAATAAAATTTTGAATTAATTTTAAAATACATATATACATATATATATACTCTGTCCATATGTGTATGTGTATATTTTTTCATAGTATTCCAGGAACTGCTGCTTCTTCAAAAGATACCTACTTGAACCTTGCCTTGTTCATTTCCCATGGGCGCCTCACCTCTTTTCCCTTTTATCATACCCCTCTTCTCCTTCCTTCCTCTCTTGGTGCTGGTTTCTTCCCTGAGGCAAAGGCCCCAATTGATTTACCATCCTCAATACACACCTGACTTTTCCCAGAAGACACTGCACTCCTACCACCACCCCCTTCTATACAGAGATAACTGGCTTCCTACCACATACCCTTTCTGAACAGTGAAGGAACAATCTTGTCTAAAATAACCCTCTCAATGGTAGGAAACAGGGACACAGACTTTGTGGAGCTGGGAAGTGGATCTAAGGATGGGGAGAGAAAGCAGGGAGGGAAGGAGAAGTATAAATGATCAAAATATGATATGTACATGTACCTATACCCCACGATGAATATATTCATTATGTATCACAGAGATATAAAATTTTTGAGTTTTATAACAATGCAAAATAAAATAATTCCCTTCAGTATATACAGTTTCAGGCCCTTATTCTACTATATTTTCTTTACATAATTTACCATAACATAAAATTGTACTATTTCACTTATTATCGTTGCTCTAGCCAACAACCTTATGAGATCAAAAACTGTCTTGTTCACCACAGTATATCCAGTAAATACCACTCCCAAATAGAATCATAAACATGCCGCACATATAATTGTAAATGTTCTAATGGCCACATTAATATAATGATGAAACTAATATTAACAGTTTAGCCTTAACAGTCCTTCCCTCGCGTGTTATCACTATTCTTTTTAATTTGAGATATTTTATATTTTTTCATACTATTTCTTCACGATGCGGTGTTTAATTCACCTTGACAGCACGCCAGTTTTCAGACACATGCCCCTTGTGTCCACCACAGTGGACAATACAGATGTAGAATAGTACATGGCACCCAGCAGGTATCTAGTATATATTTGTTTTAAAAAGTCTTCTGTACTACTTTGATGCTTCTATAGCCTAGGAATAATATGGTAATAATGTCCAACCATTGATACTAATTCTTAGCCATTTTCTCTCGTTGAACATTGTTTCCAATTTTTACTTTTTAGAATAATTCTGCAATAAATATCCGGTTCGTGCCTATTTTTCCCTGAAATAAATTCCCACCAAGTATGCCACCCCTTTGAAGCCACCACTTTTTGCCAAGTTAGCCCAAAAAAGATGTTCCACTTAAACGTCCAGTGGTTTATGTTTGGCTATTAAGGGCTCTCCTGCGACACTAACAGGACAGGTATTGTTAATGATTATTATGACAAAAATATTACTATGTACTATTTTTTGTCTGCTATAATGAACCCCATACATTAGGTTATAAACATCTCAGGGATCAGAAACACCAGGTTGATTAGGTTACACAAACTAAACACTGAAATCACACTCAAGACTCAGAACTGGGTCAATCTATTTTCAAAGCATGGGCGTTCTGTACTCCCCGTTTTTGGTTAACAAAAAAAGTAGAAAGAAGGAAAGAACCGGCCAAATAAAGACAACGACACAGTTGAGGGCAGGGTAAAAAGTTAAAAGCAGAAGCGACCCTCGCCTTCCCGTCCTGCCACACCCATGGGTTAAGATTCCGAAGCCCCGGGTCCCACTTCAGTCCTCGCCCGAGTACCCAGCTCAGCCCAACAGCCGCTTCCTGGGACCAGGTCACCCTCCCTGCCCTCACTCCGCCCCACACTCCGCCCCGCGGAGCCGATTCCCAGTCCCAGTCCCTCCTCCAGCATTGCGTAACCCTGAACGCGGACGTGACGTCCACGGCGTAGGCAGGACTTCCGGAGCGCCGCGGTCTCGAGCAATAGCACCCGCCCCCTCCCGCTAGATTTCTGTGTCCCCATGGAAAGCTTGGCCGCTGCTCGCCCACCGCCCAAGACCAGCAAGCGGCGTGCCCACGAGGTGACTTCGGGGACGGCTGGGTTTCTTTTCGGGAGTGAGGAAGGAGCCAACAGCCTGAGGCCTGGCTTCTTCTGAGGCAGGCAGAACTGAAGTCTCAGTGGTCACGTTGTCGTTGTAATTAATCACCATCAACCGGCGGCGAAAAGTAGGGGCCTCAGGCTCTGGAGAGTGCAAGTCTTTGCAGGTTAATTGTTACAGGAGACTAGTCCTAAAGGCTGTCAACTCTGTTGTGCTTTCGAATCACTGGAAGATCGTTAAGAGTTCCGGTGCCCGGGGCCCTTATCCCAGACCAGTTGAGTCCGAATTTCTAGTCGCCATGGGAATTTTTTTTTAAAGATTCTCATGTGGCTAGAATCACTGTTATTAGACTAATTCTATAGGTGAATTCAGATTTTTGCCCATCCTGCCCAATATCTAAATGGAAAATCACTCAGGACACATCCTTAGAAGGATGTTTAGGATATTGGCCAGTCTGCCAAAAAGTAGGGGTTTTCTTTCTTTTCCCTTGCATTTTGACCTCTGTGGAAGGTCAGTTTTTAGTGGAAATTATTGTGAGAACATATGACCGTTGCGATCGTTGATACCTCTCACAGATTAAAGTGGAGAATGCCTTTGCCTAGTTTTCTTGTGTAGTGAGGTGGAGTTGAACCAGTGGCCAGTGAAGTGCCTCTTACCTCTAAAATCCTGAGATTCCCATAGTACAGTTCAGATGGTCCTGAAAATTTCTGTTTTTTCAGAAATGATTGTTAAATTTGTTTCAAAGGCTAGGTTCAGTATTCAGCTGTTTTTTACGTTAAGTCAGAACGTTTGAAAAATCTAAAGATTAAATACACAAACAACACTTAAGAGTTACTACTCTCATGACTTGTGGGATTAGGGATATCCTTTAAAAATACATATTTTACTAATATGATCTACCAGAGTAACTATCCCTTTGGGTTAGGAGTATAAACAGAAACCATGTATTTCAGAAGATTGTTAGTACTGTCAGATAAGCATAAGTGAAGGCAAGTTCACAGTAAAATGTATAAATCCCCTTTTTATGTTCAGTGCCTTCCTGGGGAAAGTATGCAAACTAAAGTTCCAGAGAGACATTTTCATTCTAGAGCTATTTTATGGACAGTGAAGAATTATTTTGTGTTTGTTAGGATCCAACATTTAGGATAGGTTGAGGTGAGTTTGGGGGAAAACTGAACAACCAAAGCTACAGTAAAGGTTGGAAAATTTACAAAGGAGGGACAGAACTCTTAAAACTACTTCCCTTTCCTACAATAGGAGATCCACAGAATAGTTGGACAGATGAGTACAGAATGGAACTATAGATGGTTAAAGGGCAGATGAATTAAAAATATCTTGAAAAGATGCTAATGTATTTAAACATTCACTTTCTGAAAAGATTTTGGGCATTATAGAGTAGAAATGGGAGGAGAGAATGTTATTAAGATACAGCATACAATCTCAACAATTTCAGCAGCATCCAAGGCCAAAAACAAATTAACTTTTTTTTTCCCCTGGGAGGAAAATGGGAAATTTAAAAGTAATAAAATGTAGAATCTGTGCCTACAAGTAATTAAGTACCCAAATGTGTGAGGTGTGGTGAATGTTGTATCAATTTAGAAAAGAGAGACATTAACATGGAATTACCATGATTATGTTTATAGAAGAACTAAAACTTGAAATAAAATTCTGGAAGTGTAAAAGTGGCCTTAACCATTTCAGCTATTAAAGGTTTTGGCTAAGTATTCCCTTTAGTTTGCTTATCCAAGCCTTTTTGTTTATGGTCATGCTAGGTTTTACTGTATTTTGAAAGATATGCCTGCAGTAAAACAAACTCATGTGTTTCTTCTTTTGAACTCTGTTATCATTGTGTTGTTTTTAGTATCTCAATTTTCAGTTCTCCCATTGCCTCTTGAGTTCATGACTTAGAGGGTAATTTTGCTTTTTCATGGCCTCATAGTTCACTTCTGACTGGATACTAGTCACATGGGGACTCAGTGAACTTACAAATAAATCTGTTCACAAGTCCATCACCCTTGCTGACAAGTTAAACAGTGCCCTGCTGTGTGTGGAATGTCATTTGTATGGAAAAAAAGAGAAGAATTGTTAAGTGAATCCTTTCAGTCTTCTTCCCTATGCCGTGCTTTCTTTAAGACAGTACTTATTGCAACATCCGGAAGAGTGTAAATTGGGGCTGGAGGTTGAGAATGAAAAGAGGTAAAAAATCAGTGTTTGGCTCCCTCACCCCTCAGCTTTAACAGTGGCAGTTATGACAAAAAGGTGAGGGCTTTCTGGTCATAGTAGCAGGCCTGTGTTCAGCAGAAAGATAGGGCTTGCTCTTCTATGGGTAGAAGAAGGCCCTTCAGACTTGTGTCATCTTTGATGTCCAAATAACTAAGCAGGGACCATGCAGAGCCACAGGAGGGAGCTCATGAGGGCATCAAGCCGGATGAACATGCCAGCCTCGGCAGCCAGCTAGGCGGGGGACAAGGCTCCCCTAAGAGATGGGACAGGAAGCAGTGCTCTCCAAAATCCCCCTTTGGTTATTTATAAAGTTAGTTGCCATTCCTACCAATCTATGTATTTTTTAAATTTGTATTAGTACGTGTATAGGGCACATGATGGTTACATTCACTGTGGGGAGTTAGTCCATGTATATAACGCGTCTTAATTCTTTGTTCACCTCCTTTCCCTCTGTTACCTCGCCTCCCATCTCTTGGTCCCCTTCCCTTTTGTGAAAGACATCTTCTCCAATATGATCAGCATTGCATGTACAGAGAGCTTTCCTAGAACCATATGTGACTCTATGTACTCATGTTACTCAGATTTCTCACCATACCTTCATTTATTTTACTGTAGTCTCCAGTAGCCGCCTTCCTTTGCAGAGAAACACTGCATGGTGAGGCTCTTAATCACATACCAGACTATCTAGTTGGCTCCAAGAGCCAAGTCAGAGGGAACCTTTATCTGGAGTCACTCATTTAATGATTGACTTGCGTTTGCACGTTTTAATTTTCAGAATTCTAGTGGGAAAAGAAGTAAGATAGAAAAGAAAATCTAGGGCCAGGCATTCAGCTCAGTGGCACAGCGCCTGCCTGGCAAGCACAAGGTCCTGAGTTCGATCTTCAGTACCAAAAAAAAAAAAAAAAGAAAGAAAGAAAGAAAGAAAGAAAGAAAGAAAGGAAAATCTAGTTACAGAGTACACATTATAGTTTTGAGAGGAATTTGTGTTTTTATTTTATTTAGTTGCCACGACATCCTGGATCCTCTATTTGTAAGAATATACATGTGCACTAAAAAGAATATGTATGATGCCACTGCCTTTTGACAAAGCCACATTACTTACATGTGGAATTTTTTCGGTAACTTGATAGAAATAGTCACATTTTACCCACTGAAAATTATAGCACTCTTATCTGCTATTCTTCTTGTCTATTTATGCTTTTAAATGTGTCTTACAGAGCAAGCAGATTCACTGCAGCATAGATGCATTTTTTTAGAGAGACTATATGGGAAAATACATCATTCAAGACTGGGAGGCTCAGTTTTGCCTGTAGGCCCCAGCAGTGTTTAGTGAATGACCTCAACCCTGTTTTTTTCCTTCCTCCTTTGGTGGTTGAAGACGGACAATGAATGGTCTCTGTACTTACCCTGGCTTGGCAGGGTGGTGACGATGGGCCATTGTGCTCACTGGGGAGGGCTGCGCCGTCTGTTTGTGGATCCTGGCCTTCCCTGACATTGCCAGTCTCTTCTCTCCGCTGCACTAGCCGCTAGGAGAAATGTCGCTGTTCAGCCGAGAGGGCTTGTACCATCAAAGTGGAGGCTCTTCTGGGAAGGTGGGAAGTGAAAGATAAGAGTGAGACCACTGAGAGGGCATCTGGTCTGCTGCAACCATCAGCTCTTCTCCTGGAGAGGTGGTGGCGTCAGAAAGTGTTGCTGGAATGCCTAGAATGATTTAACTTGGCTTTTCAGAAACCCGAGCATTCTTTTTAGACCCTTACACCCTCCGTGTGCAGAAAATAACCAGCTTTTAAAAGGGAGAGGAGAGTAGAAGTAAAAAGAATTCAGATGTGTTAGGAACATGTACCAACTTCCCACAAGGAGTATAATCATCATGCGCTGCAAACATGTACTACTGAAAATTAAATAATAAAGTTTAAAGAAATAAAAGAGTTAACAGGATTCATTTGTAGAGAAGATCCTCGTCTTCCCTTGGGAGCTAACAGGAACTGATTAACTGGCTGCTTAGCAGGAAGAACATGTATTCCTTCTGAAACGGAGATACTCAGGACTGCCCTGCATGTGTTCCTATCTAACGATGGCAGTTAGCGGGGTCCCCAACAGAAATCATGATAGGCACAGCCCATGTTTTCTAAGCCCTGTCCATTGATACTGTTTTGCAGAGGTTTGGGCTTGTTCGGAAATAAATCTTTAAATGTCTATGTAGGCCTTAGAGAAGTGGTGCAATTATATAGTCATGGAAACGTTTTCAAATGCCAAATATTAGGAACCGGTTGCCAAGATTGCTGTTGATCATAATCTGTTTCCTTCTGCTGTCTTACTGGGAGCCTTAATAATTTACAGAATGTATGAGAATCACACCATTCCTCCACGGAAGTTCCAGGCCAGAAGTGAGGAGCAGTTAGGGTCCTCAGTGTGTCAAGGGCAGATTGTACAGCTTACTAATGTGTACACATAAAACGGGGTGGGTGAAAGATAGCTCGAAGCCTGGCTTTTCTACTTCCAGGGAGATAGAAATTGTTCTTACATATTTTTGAAGGGTAACTTGGTGTGTTTTTTCTAAAGCAAAAAAGAGTATGAATACTATTATGAAAAAGATAATATGTGGCCCACAAGCCTAAAATTTTTACTATCTGGACCTTTAGAGAAAAAAAATTGCTGGCATAAAATAATGAGTAATACTGGAAATACTGAGCCTAATAATAATTATAAAGCTCTGTGAAAGTTGCTATTCCTTTAGACATATTTTTCTATACTTTTATCTCATTGGATTTTTGAGAGATGGACTTGTATATTCAAATCAGTGATTCAAGTAATCAAAATATATGGTGGCTGTTTAAATTAAAAATACTTATTACATTAAAAAGCACAGTGCCATTAATCCCCCTCACTTTGAACACACTTATCCCACCATTCTTGCCACTTTCTGAAGCAGCTCTGAAAGACCTCTCGTGTGTCTTTACGAGGTGTGATCATAACTATGGTGAATGCTGCTGCCTTGTATCGTATAGATGGTGGACAGCCTGGGCTGCACCTGAACTGCCCTGGGTCAGAAAGCTTGGAACTGGCTTTCTTCAGTCATCTCCGCGGGTTTCCCTGGCTTCTTTCTTGCAAAGCTACTCCAAGTGAGCATGGGGTGATCTCTGCAGCAGTGTACCATGGCAGCCCTTATACCAAGTTCTTTGTTGACCCAGAGTCATCAGCAACCTCTCCTCAAATTGGGGGTCCTTCCCTCTTTTTAATCACAGCCATTGACATTTGAGCAGCCAGGAGAACATCACGAATGATTCTGGAACCCCTTCAACAGGCATCTACTTCATCACACACACCTAAACCTCTGGCTCCGCCAAACGAGCCTCTCTCAGCCACCCTGTGGATTTTCAGAATGTGGGTGCTGCCACCTGTAGTGCCAGGCTGGATTTCCCACGGATAGTAACGGTGGGATTGGGTCCACAGCAGTGTTCTGGCACAGCAGTGTTTATTACAGCTGTGAGCCTATCAGACTTCCCAGTCCGGGATGACTGACCTACTTCCAGCTAGGCATAGTGACTTCTAAGGCACAGCAAGAGGTCTGGATTCCAAACTTTAAATTTTCAGAAGCCACACAGATGTCTCCTACACTGTTCTGATTTAATTCTTGTGCTACTTGTTAAACTGTACAAAATTTGATTAGGACACACATGGAGTTCGCTTTAATGTCATTATGCACAGCAGGCTCTCAGAAATCTATTCAGATTTCAGTGTTAGAAATACGAAACCTGGCTCTAGTGAATTAGCCACTTAAAGGCAGCACCTTCCAGTTTAGAACTCAAGTACGTACTGATTCCTGCCATTATTTATTTTGTGCTTGCTGCATTTGTTTGTGTGGTAAGGCACCTAAATATTAACTGTATTATATTTCTTCAGTAGCCTGGAAAGCACATAACAGTTAGATAGATTTTCAGATAGTTATTCATGTTTTAAACCTTTAAGTTATACCTTGAAGGTAATGTGAACTGAATTTATACCTTCCAGTGCATTTGGTAACTTTTTTCCCATTTATATTCACTGCAATTGTGCATATTCCTGAATTTAGGATAGGAAACAGGAGGTACTGCCTGTATTTAAGATAAATTTTCAAGTCATATCAGCCTTCTTAGAAAGGACTCCATCAGCATCTAATTTCCAAAGCTTCAAAACCTGAATAGCTATTTGCTTGGCATTGCGTTGTTAGGGGTTCTATCTCATAAAAGCTTAAATGTGCATGCTTTTTAGGATATTATTTTTGTTTAATTCTTGTTTAAGTACATTCTGGTGTGGGCTGGCATTTAGTAGCTCTGAAATTTTGAACAGGAGGAAAACTAAGTCTATTTAAATAGATTATAAACTGTATACAGCTTCAGATTAAACTTTACTTTTAGGTATTTCATTCAGTGAGTCAGTTAGTCAGGGTAAGTAGGTAGGTGGAAAAAGAGTAAATCCTGGCAGAGTAGTGCTGTTTGGCAGGACAGTCTGTGTCACACTTCAGGAAAGTTTGCAATAGTAGAATAGTTTCTTCTTCTGCAGAGAGACAGGAAGGACAGTTAGGCCAGGTGACTGTGATGGCACTCACTGTCTGAAATCAAAACCAAGTCAACCTAAACCCAAACAGGGCCCTTTTGCGGAACTTAAAGCCCCAAGCACACTTGAGCCTAGAAAGATGTTTTTGTTTAAAGAGGCTTCTGCAAAGCTGGCTGTGGTGGCACACATTTGTAATCCCAGCTACTGAGGAAGCTGAGGCAAGAGAATTACATGTTCAAGCCCAGCTGGACAGCTTAGCTAGACCTTGTCTCAAAATAAAAAATAAAGGCTGGGGATTTAGCTCAGTGCCACTGCGCCTGCCTTGCAAGCACAAGGCCCTGAGTTTGATCCCCGGTACAATCAATCAATCAATAAATAAGTAAGTAAATGAATGGCTGGAGGTATAACTCAGTGTGAAGGTCCTGGGTTCAGTCCCTAAATAAATAAATAAATAAATGGCTGGAGGTATAACTCAGTGT